CCAGTGGAAAAATGGCATGGAATACCGCAGCTTGCGAAGTTTTCTATTTATGTTTTGTCATGGAAAATGAAATAATAAAGTGTTTAAAAAGGCCTCCCCCCCCCCTTGGAAAGGGAAAAGAGTGTATGAGGGTGTTTTTGGTGCTGGTATTTTTTATTTTTTATTTATTTATTTGATTTCTTTATCTATGAGCTTTGTGAAGATGTTGAGTAGAAGCCCAGGCATGTGCTGCTGGAAGATAAGAAAAATGAGGCAAAAAAGGAGACTGGAATGAACAGATAATATTCTGACACTATTTTGATAGATATTCCTTATCTGGGATGCTATTATCGTGGAAGTAGTAGAATTACAGGGCTGAACTGCTTTTCTTAGGGTCATTTTATATGTTAAGGGTGGGATATTACTGAGCAGAGAAGCCAGAGAAAGTCTTATGAAAAAAATTAATCTAGGACTTAAAATGAGATACAGATGTTAACATAGTCTTCTCACCAGCGATAGCTGATATTTCTCATTGCTTTCATATGCCAAAGAGAAAACTATCCTTAAACAAGGCCTTGTTTAAGCAGTGCATTTTTTTTAGGCTTATCTTCCTGTGTTAAAATTTTCTTAGTCAGTGGTCTATATTTTTTTGCTGATAATCCTGTAGAAGTATACAATGCATACTAAGATTTGTGGAAAATTGTAGTCCCTAATGTCGATCCTACTATTAAAGAAAGCAAATTAAGCTTATATAGATTAGAGAGAACCAAGTGTTGAGAAGGAAAAAAGAAGGATGCAACTGAGCTGAAGTAGCAGAGAAACTGAAAAATACAAGTAAAAAAGCACATAAAGTCATTTGTTGAAGAACATGTAGTTCATTAATTTATTCAAGAGGAGCCAGATCAATGCCAGTTTCTATGACAGGGTAAAGGAACACCAGACAATGTGACACTCACTATTAAGCTCAGTTTGTTAGGAGAATCAAGTGAGGGATAGGATATGTCATCTGGGTCTTTGTGCACGTGTGCAAACGTGGTTAACTGAGACCTCCCTCTGTTATCTTTCCTGTGAACTGGCACAGGTGAACCTGGGCAAAGGAGATACTTGCTCTGAGTGGTCTTCGATTCATCTGGTTTTGTCATCTGTGTTCTTTCCTATAAGCAAAATGCTTCCTATAATCTAATGAATATACCTCTCTATTTAAAGAGCTTGACCCAACAATCTAATGTAGATGTCCCAAAACAGGAACATCCATTTTGAAAATCAATTGTATTTAAAAACATAACAGACTACCTTTTCTTTTTTGAACATACGGAGAAAATAAAATAATCCATTCTATTCATGAAAAATAGTGCAAAGTAAACAGGTAAAGATGCTTTTAAAAGAAATCTTAACTGAAAGGTCAGAGGAACTAGTGGGACAAATCCACATACAATCCTACAAAACCTTAAAAATTAAATATAATCAGGTAATTACATGTCTCGTGTTCTGTTAGCCTCTTTGTGTGAGATATTTAGTGTATAGAAAACAGTGGAAAATTCAGGGGCCAGTATTGGAAGCTAGGATGAGTTATGTTACGATGCAATGATTTAAGTAATTTTAACAGATTAATTATACACAAAGTCATGCCTTCTGTTAGAAAAATAAATACAAATTATCTAACTGTAAGGTTAGCTCAGGTAGAAAGAATTGTCTTTTATTTGGGTCTTGATTTTGTGCAAAGACTATTCTCTGTATGATTAATAAAGCCAGAAAATATGCATGCATGCTTATTTTCTTCACAAAAGAAATAAATTTACTCTTTCCCACAGTAAACGGTGAGAGGAGGAGTGTGATTCTGTAGCAATAAAAAAAAATGCTTACATGATGTATAGTAACATCATATTTGAGAACTTAAAGATAATGAAATTTTAAAAGTTCAGAAAGGAGCTGACAGTAAGACCTGAAGAAATAACCAAAGAATTATAGATAGTTCTGTTAACTAAATATCCACGAGGGATCTGAAATAGTCAAAGTGTTCTTTCTAAGCATCTATAAGAGATGGTGAGATTAAACAGATAGAATATATTTGTAGGGAACAAGTCAGTCCTATCTCTTTAAAAAATTGCAGCAAGCCTTAAGGCTTAGAAAAGGTATGACATAACATTAGTAAACTGCAGTTTTGATAATCTTGGCTTTCTTTTAAGCAAGCTACGGAACTGCGGTCTAGATAAGATTAGTCTAAAGTTAATATAGAAGTTTTTTTATTATAAAGATTTCATATTTTATTCTCAGTCACTCTTTCCCAAAGTAAATGTTGGGGGGAAGAGTGTGATTCTGTGAAAGTGTATACTGGTTGTAATGTTATTCCATAATGTTTTTGGTAGTTTTGGAAATAGAGTAGATGCTAATCTTGCTGAAGAAGACAGCAATAAATAATCACAATAAATTGTGATATATTTAAATAATAAAATAAATAATTACAATAATTTGCAGAAACACAATCACAATAAATTGCAGAAACAATAGAAAATAATAGACATATACCTTGGTAAGAACAAACACAGTCATTAAGTAGGAAATAATAACTGCACAAGTACAAGAGAGACAATACCCTTTAACTCTTCAGAGAAGAATATGGGGACAGTATATTTATCCTGCCATCCTGTTAAATGTGTAGCTGGCTCCAGATTTTTTGTTTTCTTACGCAAATGTTTTCCCTTCTTTCATTTCAGCAGTAGCAGAGCTCTAGCAGTGTTAAAATGCCTGGCAGACATCTTTTGGCAAATCTTTAGAAAAATCATGACCGTTTATGAATGTGAAGCATAACATACTAATTTCTAACTGTTTACTGGGTTGCTAGTCTGTGGCAAAGGCACAAGGGATAGAATATATGAAACTGCTGAAACAATACCAGCTGGAGCTCTATAGATCTTTAGGAGCAAATTGTGAAAGTATACAGTGAAACAAATTGCAGGCTCAAGTTGTTTAAGTTTTCTAAAAGGACAAAGAGTATAATGTACCTGGTTATTGATAGTTCATTACATGAAATTAAATATTAAAAGCAACAAAAAAGACTTACGAGTAGGTTTAATTAACCTAAGAAATGGGAAGAATGAGTATAGGAATATCATAAAATTTTTGATAAAGGAGACCAGCGTAAACTGTTAGCTGTCTTTGACAAGAAGTAGCAGGGTTTAATGTGCAGCAAAGTATGGGTGTGAAAGATAAGAAAAAGGTCCAAGAAAAGTAAGAATGTTTAACTCCTGGGGTAGATTTTTTTTTTTATTTGGAGGGTTGTCCAGCTTTGACTTCAGTTATATAAAGAGAGATTGAACTGGCCTTTTTCAGTACTGGTTTAGATGTGAAGATACAGCTGAACCCTGCCCTCTATAAGAAATATCAAGACATATAAACAAGCCCTATTTATGCCTTATTCCTATCTCTTCCACCTTCTGTAGAATTCTACCAAGCATCTAAATAGGAATTGAAGAAATAGAAGCTGCTGCTTCTGTTTCTATTGAAAGACAAAAATTATTAATTAATTCTACTGTTAAAATAAACAAGACTGTTTATTTCATGTATTCTGTATACTACAGTTGCTGAATGGAAACCTGGTTGTGCTGTTTTGGAAGGCTGGACCAGTTTGCACTGTGGTCATTATGATTCTCCTCTCAGGCTACCAGATGGCTGTTTAGGTGTAATGATAACAGCTGTTTGATTCTACTAGCCAGCCTTGAGACTGAAGGACTCTGAAATCACTTGGGTACTACAGGATAAAATGAAGACAAAATTTAAACTTTTTTCTGCTGTAATTGCATGTTGATGAATGATAGTATTGACTTTGCAGTAAATCATTCCTCAACATATTCTTATTTTTGAATTTCTAATAATTTGGTTTCTGTTTTTTCTGTATTTTGTTGTACTTACTCTGTACTGGTTATTTCCTAGGTGTATCTACAGAAAGACAGAAGATTAATTACAGGAACAGGACACACTCTGGATTTTCCTCTGCTCTACAGACTACACTGGTTGGAGTATTAAATCCTTTTGCAACACCACCTTCCTGTAAGTAAGCTCAATCTGTGTGAAACATACTGTATAAAATTTTGTTTGGTTTCTACGTAATTCACTACTCTACAAGGAAAATGGTAAATTTAGTATTCTACCAGAGATGCACTGAGATATATACATATATGCACATATAAGAAGGAAGAGTGTGAAGGCTTAAAGCATTTTCTTGTGTTACTCCACTGTCTTTTCTGAAATCAGATCAAGAAAGGAAACTCATGAGTCACAGGTACTAGTAGCCAGTTTTCAGAACTGATAGCTGTGTACACCACGGGAGATGCAACAATGAATTTGTAAGGCAAGAAAAGAAATAGAGTTGTAACATTAAGGGGCTATAGGGGTAGCTGTATTTACTTTGTTCTTACAAACTTCTCTCTGTATCACTAAGGTGAACAGCTAATAGTTCTAGCTAGAGATATACAACATGAACCCTAACAAAACCAGCATAAACATTGTCTTTGGCTGCTCCTGGTTATGCGCCTCACAGTTAATATCGAGGGACATAGAAAGATAGTTCTGAGAAGGTCAGAGTCTAGGAATATTTTGTGATTAGTAAATATCAAATATTATTTTAAATTGAATTTTATCACACTAGTACAATCTGAGATATAAATCTCCTTGCTGTTATGGGATTGAATGGATATTTTGAGATATTTTGAATTCATAAAGTATCCAGATTTATAAAGTAAGTTTTTTTATTTGCAACAGGTATTTGGGTTGGTAAACTAGTTTTTTTGATTCAGGGTTATAAATTTTGCATACAAAGTAACACCCTGAAAGTATCATGATCAATTAACTTTAAAAAAAAAAAAAGAGAGAGAATGTTGTATTGGTTTATTAGATATGCTGTCATTTTATGCGGATAAAATGTGTAGACATGCAAATTCTCCTAGATGATAAAAACAGATGGTGTTGATTATTGGGTGATATACCTATATTCTTTAGAGGTTTGACTCCTTGAAACTCGGATGTTGATGTTGACTGGAATATTCAGTGCAGAGGAACTAAAATACACGTCCAAAATTCTGAAATGAAAATTTCTGTTGTATTGAGCATTTAACTTGCCAGGGTTAAACATAGATGTGTAATTTCTGCACTTTATTTTCTGTCATACTATAATATGTTTGCATCTACTGAAACAGCTCTTTAATATGCAGTAATATTGTAAGTTGTTTTGTTTGATTTTGCACCTAAAGTTGACTTTTTTTTTTGCAGGGATCTAGGGAATCTAACTTGCCATCTGTTGCTTAAATCTCTGTACATCTCTACTGCATGTAATAGATACCCTTTTTAGCCTAGCTTCATAATTTGGAAATAGGAAGTCATGCCTATGAGATAAGGCAGTGTAAGGTTATGTTAGTGCTCGTTTGTTTGCATCTGCACTCATTATATTTGAACCTTCTGCAAGGGCTGGCATTTTGAAAGCCAGAAAGGTCTCAATACTGTGTTTTTAAAACTTATGGAACATAATGGCTGAGCAGAGGGGAGGGAGTTGTGTACTGATTGACTGTCTGTAGTGTAAGCCTAAGCTATATTAGACAGGTGAGTAAAAAATTATAACTATCTCTGTTATGGGACAAACTTCCATCAGAGCTCAACACTTTCTTACATACTAAAAACACTCAAATGCAAGTTGTAGATTTGTCAGAAACAAAGTATGATATTTTCCCATGCTGTTTGAAAATTCTTGCTTCCAACGGCTACAATGAGCAGTTTGTAAACCTTTTCAGCTTGGATAATCAAAACCCAATGCCCCAGAGGAATGCTGATGTATTTATAAACACATGGAGATGCAACTCTGTAATAATGCCTGAGTGCAGTCAAGTGAATGAAGTGTTTGCTTCTTGTTCTCAGCTTTCTGTTTGGTGTTTTAGATATGTTTGTAATACTTTCGTGTGCTTTTAATGGCAGAGCTGTTTTTCAGTGGTAAGCATTTGTGTATAAAATAATTGAAGTTCGTACAATAAACCACGGTTCAATTTACTTGAAAATGTAAATTGGCTCGTTTATGAGTCACTTGTGCATGACTGGCAGTCATGATAAGTTAGGAAGTATACAGTAATTGACATATAATAATATTGAAACAGATTGTCCAATACATTTATTTCTTGGACAAAAACCGATCAATTTTATTTTGTCAAATTCTATACTGCTTTCTTGAGGAAGTGAAAGTATATTTATTAAAACAGCAGTGACTGTGAAGTCTGGTGTGTTAAAATTTGATAATTTCGTTTATCAAAGCAGATCATGAGATTAACTCAAGAGTAATTGTTAAATTTAGAGTTCAAGGTAGTGGGAACACAAAAAAGGCTTTATGATGAGTTTTTGTCAATCTGTATAATTTTTCAGTTAAGCAGTCATAAATCAAGGAATACTGTATTTTTTGAGGCTCATTAAAGAGACATTATACATTAGAATAGTGAGGCAGTCAGCATAATGAAATGATGAATGCCTATAACTATCTGTATGTAAATGATGTGAGACACATTTGCTGGTGCTACAGAGGAGAATGGCAATCTATTTGACAGTTCCCTGTAGGTGCTACTTCTGGATACAACTGACAGATGTTAAATGTAAACCTCTTCAACAGAAAGCACTTATTAGCACTCAGTGGGGAAAAAATGGCAATATAGAATAAGACAAATAGCAGATGATGCCATTTAAATATCTTTGTTCTTGCAGAGCTTTATTGCCAATGTGTTAAAGTCTGGAAGGTTGGTGTTTTGTTTGTTTTTTATTGATAAAGAGAAGGTAGGTAAGAGAACATTTTTGAATTTAGAAAATTGTATTTTGAAACATGTAAGAAAATTCTCTCAATATTATATCTTGATGAGCATTGTATATATGTGCCCTTTCATCATGTTATTTAGTTAATATCAAATACTTTTTAGGACATCCTATGTTTTTATTTCTAGACTATTTGTCTCAGTCCTAACCTGAGATGCCACTCTTGGAAGTATAAAATATTAATCTGTGTGATATTCACATTTCGATAATAATACAACTCTTCAATTGAGATCAGCATTAAAGTAGTTCAGGAGACTATCAAAACCATTTGATTTATTTCTTACTTATCCTACTTTGTACTAGATTAGGTTAGAGATTTATATTTCTTTAAAGTATGAATCTAGGCACATGAATTGATTTTTCAAATTGTCAACTCTTACTTTAAAGGTTCTTTTTTGAGGAACCCTACCCTTAACGAAATTTTTTTCTTCTATCTGGCAGCCAAGCTACTGCTTGAAAGGGTAGAGATGAAGCCAACACTAAGAGTGATGCAATGTCTACATATTTAGATTCCGTATGGCGTTACGTCTTTTACTATTATGAAATCTGTGACACTGTGTGTGCTTTTTCTTTGTTATCTTTCGTCAACAGTTTAACGTTACCTTGTGTTGCTTGCACTAATTCTCTTCGGAATTTAGTGTTTCACTGCACCACTACAGATTTGTAATCCTCTTTCATAGTGTTAAATTATCAGCCACATATGCACTGTGTCTGACTTAGTGGACATATTTATTGTTCCCTGTCTACTGTGCGTGCTAATTCGTTTCTTTATTGCTTTGCCTTGAATTAGGGAATACTCATCCTTTCTTCTCTGAATTCTTAAAGGAATAGCTAAAGTTCATTCCTTTGTGCTTTTTGGTCTTAGTTCCCATTGTCACAGTTCAAATCTAGATTTTTTTGTTTACGTAGATCCTGATGTATGTTCATGTAGAACAGCTGAGTTTCAAGAGTGTAGAATGTGAATGTCATCTCAGTGGGGAAAAAAGAGTAAATACATTTTATGAGAGAATTTAAGCGATAATCCATGACTGTAACAGACTTCTCACATAGCCAGACTTTGGAGGAAAGGAGGAGTTCATAAGTCTTGTAAATGTACTCTGATCCTATTAACCTCATTAAATGACGGTGTTAAAACTATTGCTCAATTTTATCTCCTTTTCTTAGCAACACAGCAGAGTTGCAAACAAGAGACTTGCATTATGATGCTCTGTAAGTCACTAGAAATGAGTCTTTTACTGGCATTTCTGGTGACTGCAATTATTTGATGAGTCAAGGTTTACAAGTTATTCACTAGTTTTAAGAATATGCTTAATATGGATATATAACTATATAGACTATATAAATATAGTGTCCAAGTATACACTAAGTAAACACAGTATATGTATATATATAGTCTAAATATGCACTATTCAAATAAATATTTAATACATTTTTATTTTTAGGAAAAAAACCTACAGGTTAATAATTTACAACATAATGAAATTGCTTCCAATAATTTGAAAAAATTGCTTTGAAATGTCTCACCAAACTTTTTAAACTAATAATAAAGCATACTGAAACATAAATGTTTCATTTTCTCATTACTCCTGTTTAGTGTAAATAATAAATTTAGTACAATGACATCTATGTAAACTGGTGAAGAATGATGGATTTTTAAAAAAATATGTCAAATCACCAAGGAAAATCCATCCTAATGAAACCTAAATTGAAAATACATGTATGTGTTATGTTGAGAGTTTTATTACACTGTCATTACATTTTAAAATCAATTTTCTTCTCATGTGTACTGGAGTACTTGAATAATTTTTAACTAAGTTTAACATCAGATATTACTAGCGTTAGTTCTTTATATATCTGTTAAATCTGATTGGTAGTCTACAAACAGAATTATAATTTCAAGTCTAATGCTTTTGTCAATTATATTTATCTGAATTTATGACTTTATTAATTGTAAATTAATTGAAATCTCTTGGATATTGTTTCTCTTTTACTCAAAGAAATCCCTTTGCAGAATGTAATAAGGAAGTGCTATCATGCTCATCCAACTATTTCAGCTATTTTCTTTTTAGAACTGAATTATATGTTTAAATTATATTGAATGACAGTTGTATGAGCTGAGATCTGCTGTGTAAGTGTGCCAGGAGAGTACAAAATTAAAATATAAACCCATGACATAATAATGTTTCATTAATATCTATTTCAAGTAATCT